CTATGTTCCACATTCTAGATTTTTTTATCCATTTATGGACATTTAGCTTCTTTCCACATCTTGGCTTTGTCTTTTGTTTGTTTGTTTTTTGTTTGTTTGTTTTGAGCTTTACTCTTGTTATTTAATTATTTTCTTTGGCTTTGTGTTAACAGTTGCAATGAACATGGGAGTGCTCATGTCTCTTCAGTATCCTGATTTCAATTCTTTTGGATAAATGCCCCAAAGTGGAATTGGTGGATCATATGGTAGCTCCATTTTTTATTTATTTTTTAAGAACCTTCATACTGCTTTCCATAGTAGCAGCACCATTTTGTATTCCCACTAGCAGTGCACACAGGTTCCACTTCCTCACATCCTTGCCAACATTGTTGTCTTCTGTTTGATGTTGTGTTTTTTAGTTATTCAGTTATTAACTCCATCACCCCTGATGAGAACATAGTCACCATGTGACAGGGCCTTTGTCTATGTTCTTTACTCTCTAATCCCAGATATCCTGATTTCAATTCTTTTAGATAAATGCCCCAAAGTGGAATTGGTGGATCATATGATAGCTCCATTTTTTTTTATTTTTTTTTTAAAGAACCTCCATACTACTTTCCATAGTAGCGACACCATTTTGTATTCCCACTAGCAGTACACACAGGTTCCACTTCCTCACATCCTTGCCAACATTGGTATCCTGATTTCAATTCTTTTGGATAAATGCCCCAAAGTGGAATTGGTGGATCATATGGTAGCTCCATTTTTTATTTATTTTTTAAGAACCTTCATACTGCTTTCCATAGTAGCAGCACCATTTTGTATTCCCACTAGCAGTGCACACAGGTTCCACTTCCTCACATCCTTGCCAACATTGTTGTCTTCTGTTTGATGTGTTTTTTAGTTATTCAGTTATTAACTCTATCGCCCCTGATGAGAACATAGTCACCATGTGACAGGGCCTTTGTCTATGTTCTTTACTCTCTAATCCCAGTACCTATAACAGTGCCCAACACAGGAGGCTTTCAGTAATGACTATGTTGAATGGAGAGCAAGCAAGGTGGTGGGCCAACTATATCAGGATGAGAGCCCTGATGACAAGGGAATGAGCGAGTTCCCATTTCGTCCTCCTCACTGTTCCCATTTTTAGTGTGTGTATCCTATTTTAGAAAAGAGTGGGAAAGGAGAGCTGGCCGAGTGACTCAGACAAGGCCTCCCATGTAGGCAGGTACCATGCTGAAGGCACCACATGCAGAGTCCAGCCCTCAGCTTTCTCAAGTCAATCAGGAAACAAATCTTTCAGTCAATGTGTTTACAATGTAGTACAGAGCTGGCATTCAGATCCCTGACACTAACCCCAGCCGAGGCCATTAATTATTAGCTGTGTGGCCTAAGGTAAACCACCTCCTTTTTAAGGAGCCATGGTTTCCTCACCTTACAATTAGGGGTTGGGACTGGAAGGTGTCTGAGCAACCTCCCAGATCTGTGGTTCTTAAGCAATTAGTGCCAGTTACTCATTCACCTGTGAGCTTTACCTAGAGCCTGGGCGGGTCCCCTAAGACACTTCCTCCTGCCAGCAAGTCAACTGTGGAGATGAAATTAAAGCTGCAAGGAGAGCTTGATGAGCATAACATTTAGAACTCAAGGAGCTAAACTGTTGCCAAGGAGTATTTCTATTAAGCTATGAGAAGTGACATGATGAATTCTGCTCAAAATCCTTTTGTGCCCAGAAAGAGAATGAATATTGAAAGACTGGACACAAAACCTACATCCAAAGCACGGCATCCTCCAGGAATGGGAACACTGGACCAGAAGCATGGCTTCTTCGGCTATTCTTTTTCTTCAACCTTTTATCTCCATCCAGTGTTTCGGTCCCAATGATTAGCTTTCAACTGTCTTTAATTTACTCATACCCATCTTTTATTTATTTGAGCCAAACTGATGACATAGGCTAGGGAGCAAGATCTCAAATGCGCCTATGAAAGATATTGATATAAATATCAGAACTATATTTTCCAAACTAAAAATAATCTTACAAAGGGAATGTTTTTATGACAATATTAGGAAAGAATTTTCAAATTGGGACTCTCCTGAAATCATACATTTGGTAAAAGATCCTTTCAAAGTGCAAGATAGACCAATAGATTTCAAAGTAATGGTATAGTTAGCACATTGGTATAATTTCAGATTCCAACAAACCCCTAAGAAACTATGACTAATATCCAAGAGAGATATCCCCACTTATCTGAAAGGCTATTAAAATATTCCTCCCTTTTCTAATGACATATGTGTGTGAGGCAGGACTTTCCTCAATACTTCAACCAAGATAGCAGATTGCAATAGATTGAATGCAGAAGCAGAGATGAGATTCTATCTGGGTTAAGGTAGACATTAGAGATTTGCAAAAATTTTAAAAAATGCTACTCTTCTCACTAATTTTTTTTTGTTTTGTTTTATAAAATCTATTTTTCACAGAAATTTATGTTAACATAATTATATTTATTATGAAGTGAATTGATGGATTTTTTTTAAATTGTTTTAATTTTTAATATAGAACATATCAATAGATAGAACCCACATAAATATCTCTTCAGAGCGTAAAAAAAGTTCTAACACCAGTAGCTGGGAGGCGCTGCCTGGGAGCGAGCGCTGTACTTCTGCACAAAGTTTACGGTCGGCCCTGAGGTGTCTCACCTTCAAACAGAAAAGGACACATGAAGATCCCGGATATTTGTCGAGAGCCTCTAACATGAATGACAGAAGCAAATGTGATCAGAAAGAAAGGAGCTCGGCCATAACCAAGGAGCAGGAACAAAAAGTTTAAAATAGTAATGACAATATCATCCTTGGAGATCAAAGTTTTTACCTTCTTAAATAAGAACAGACACATAGGAAGAGCTTTCTTTAAAAAAGAAAAAAAAACATCTGAAATGATATCTAAGAAACAAGGTTTCCAGCACAGGCGCTGGGTGAAAGGCGTCGTCAGGAGGGTGTTGGGGAGAGAACCCCGCAGACTCGGAGGGCCGCCTTTTCAGGTGGGAGCGGGAGGACAGAGGGACCAGGAGGTGGTCACCAGAAAAGAATGCACCAATAGATGACCTGATGTTTGCACACAGTGAGAGGAGAGTTACACTCTGGCGAAAAGTTTAAGGATAAATTAGTGGTGTGTACTGAGATACAAAGGAGAGAGAGAGAGAGAGAGAGAGAGAGAGGAGAATTTTAACTCCAGGGGAAACATGGTTATATAAGAAAGGAAATGTAATTATGTTGTCTTGCAAGGCTCATGAGAATAATATTTATAATGTAATAATATCTAAAAATGTAAGCTCTGACTTTAATCAAATTTCATAACAGAACTCATTGAGAAGATGGGAGGTGGGCAGGTTTAGGGAAATTCAGAAGTAAATACCACGCAAAACTGAAAATAATGAAAAGGTGGCATCAGCATGTTTAGAAACATGGGTACATGCAGCAGACACGGCTACAGCGGAACATGCTTCTAATCTAGATAGTGGCAATCGAAGGTGGGAAACAGAACACAAGGCTATTTAAGTTATTGAACATGTAGTGCACAGCTAATTAAACACTCAATATAGTACAAAACTGAAAATAATGAAAATGTGGCATCAGCATGTTTAGAAACATGGGTATATGCAGCAGACACGGCTACAGCGGAACATGCTTCTAGATCAGCCGTAGGCAAACTACGGCCCGCGGGCCGGATCCGGTCCGTTTGAAATGAATAAAACTAAAAAAAAAAAGACCATACCCTTTTATGTAATGATGTTTACTTTGAATTTATATTAGTTCACACAAACACTCCATCCATGCTTTTGTTCCGGCCCTCCGGTCCAGTTTAAGAACCCATTGTGGCCCTCGAGTCAAAAAGTTCGCCCACCCCTGGTCTAGGTGGATCTTCCTGCGCCTGGCTGAGGCCACAGAGAGAGGTCCAGAGGCAAGCTGAGCCTTTATTTTATAGTCAGAGGTAAACAAAGTAGTGGTTACCATAGTTACACTGTTCTTGTGAGTTTCACTTGTTTTGACCATAGTTACACTTCCTGCACTTTCCTCAGCCCATTAGCTTCCCAGATAAGATCTAGGGAGTGTTATGGCCACGAAGTTTCATTCGCACTGTACATGCGCGCCCGCACGTGGTATTTTGTGGAAGAGCCACACTCAAGGGGCCACAGTTTGCCGACCACTGCCCTAGCATATCTTTCCTCTAGGGTACAACCTTTGTTTAAAATTTTATATTTGTTAGTGTGATAGAATATCTGACTCCTCCAATGGATTCCAAGCTCCAGGAGACCCGGGCCAGAGACTGTCTCTGTTTGCTCACTAATGTATTTGCTCTTGGTGCTTGCACAGTCCCTGGTGCGTGGAACGCTGTTTGATGAATGAATGAGTGTGTGTGAGCACCCATGGCGACAGTGAGAAACACCTGGAAGACGTAAATGTTGGTCAGAGCTTATCTCTGAGTGGGAGAGTTACAGATCAGACCAAAGTTTAAATTCCTGTCCCTTCATGACCTTGGAAAGCCCCTTATCTGAGCCTTGGATATAATGACAATAGGTCCTCAGTTATCCAATTAAATGATGCCTTGTGAAGGCCATATAAATGTTTAAACGCCTAAGACAGTGGTTCTCAACCTTCCTAATGCCGCGACCCTTTAATACAGTTCCTCATGTTGTGGTGACCCCCAACCATAAAATTATTTTCGTTGCTACTTCATAACTGTAATTTTGCTACTGTTATGAATCGTAATGTAAATATCTGATATGCAGGATGTATTTTCATTGTTACAAATTGAACATAATTAAAGCATAGTGATTAATCACAAAAACAATATGTAATTATATATGTGTTTTCCGATGGTCTTAGGCGACCCCTGTGAAAGGGTTGTTCGACCCCCAAAGGGGGCGTGACCCACAGGTTGAGAACCGCTGGCCTAAGGTATATAAAATGCCCTCAACCATAAAACTACAATCTAATATTTCCTTTTTTGTTTGTTTGTTTATTAGTGGACTTTTGCAAGATTTGGAAAACTGTGAAAATGATCCTGTGGCCATAGCAGAATGTTTTGTGTCCAAGGTAAGCAGGGTTCGTTTTTCTGGGCCAACAACACAGATACAGAGCACAAATTGTTTTCATTTTACCATTAAAATGACTTGTTTGTTTCATGGTGGGTGAAGTTAGCCACTAATCTCACTCTGGCTTTTTTTTTTTTTACCAGCAAGGGGAAAAATAGACTTTCCCCAATAAGTTAGGAAATATTAACTTAGTAGTTGTCCTGGAATTTGTATAGCAATTGTATGATGTTACTCGGCTTTCATAGAGAAAATCTTTGAATTTGGGGAAATTAGGGAATAGAAGAATGTTAGAAAAATAAATAAATTTAATTAGCCTATAAATATTTTATGTATAATATATAGGGCACTAGCCGAGGCTATATAATTATCATTTAGGGGCTAAATAGAAGCAGAATTAATCTCTGACATCGTAACCATGTATTCTTGTTTTCCTACATTTTTTCTTAACCTGCATTGATGGTTTAGGAAAACACAAGGAAAGGCAGTTGACTTTTAAAGCTTAAGTGGCAGTTGGTGCGTACTCTGTGCCCAGAGAGGAGATAGAATTCTGAAACATACAAGGCAACCCTTTCCAACATTATTTTCTGGACGTACATATAGAATCTGATCATAAGTGTCTCTGAAAAATTCAACAGCTTTTGTTTGGAAAACCTCTAGCAGAAATGGTTTTGCCGCAAAACCTTGTGTGATTTCTGCAGTTGTGGTTTCACAGGTACAAAGGGTTAAGCAAAGCTCAGTGCTTTGGGATCAACCAAGAATTAGCACCTCTTCTCAAGCTCCAGAGTCTAAGGCAAGTCCAATGGGAACTCGGAGGTGTCCCCCCAGCCTGACCTGGCTCCGCGCTTGCCCCACGGGGTCATGTGCGAGCGACGGCTGCAGATCCATCCAGTGGCTTTGGACCCAAGCATAGCACTCTGGGCTGTATTGCAGTGTGGTTCCTTAAAGGCAGCTGACGGCCTGGTACATAAAACACTCCTGACTTTGTGGGTGGGTGTGGGTGTGGGCGTGTTAACTTGTGAAATGTTTGTGCACACATGGCTGCATACAGTTCTTTTCACAAGTCGCCTGTGTCGTAATTCATTCTCCTGAAGGGTGGGAATAGGAAAAAGAGAAGGAAAATGAAAGCAGGAGAAATGGGTCAAAAGATATGCCAAGTATATCAAAGGAGATATGTTAAAGTAACCGCAGCACATAAACAACACCGGGGCTTTTGGAGACGTTTGGGCTTTTACTGGTAACTGTAATCACAAGTTGATTAAAGACGGTCCAGCATATGCTTAGCTCCGGCTTAATTATTCACATAAAAGTCTGTTTATGGGCCACGTTGCCAACTCCCAAATCTCATTTTTCATTGTAATAGTGCCAGGTTTAATTAGAAGACCGACTCGGGCAGTCCGCACGCTCACATGTGAGCAGGGAACTGTGTGGGGGTGTCGGGTCCTGGCACGACCTGCCCTTCACTCAGCACCCTGACATTTAGAAGATGCTGCGCTTTCTGAAGCGCAAGCAGCTGCTCAGCTCCGCGAGGACGGAAAATTGCTTTAATTGAGAGGCCATTAATGAAAGAGGCAAAGCTGGCGGTTGACTTGGGCTTTCATCTGAAGCACTGGGGCCTGCACAGATTCACCTTTGACCTCGCGCTTGTGGTCTGAGTGGGTTACAGAAATCCCTACTGACAACCGGAGAGCCCGGGCGCAGGTCTCAGCTGCTGCTCCTCGCAGAGCAGAGTGCAGAGGCCATTCTCCCGAGGGACAGAGATGAAGGTCCCTCCCGGGCAGGCCAGGATACCCCCCGGCTGAGCATTCCTCTGCTCCCGGGACTCTAGAAACACCCAGAGAAGACTTACCTCTATTTCCTGCCTTTACCTCCACCTTCTTTTCCATCCCTTATCTGACTGTGACCTGGGCTGACCCTGGGTTACATTTAGCAAGGAGACAGAGTTTGTCTTCAGAGATCCAATGCCCCTATTAGCCACCTCCTCTCCCTTGATGCGTGGCCTTCCTCCATCACTGCCTTTCTCCCTCCAGTGCCCAGACATGCACACATGTGTGCACACCCCCCCCACACACACACACACACACTTACTGAACGTATCCCCAGGAAATGCTGGTATCCCATATTCGTATCAGGCCAATGTCACCTTACCCATGTGCTCTTTACAAATGAAATCTTTCTCATTGTGTCCAGGGAAACTTTATTAAATAAAAATTTTTAAATCTAATCCTACTTGAGTTTATCAGGAAGGATTCTAAATAAAAATTCCTTTTAAATCAGAAAAAAAATGTATTTAAACCATTGAAGTTCTAAAAAGTAAAATAAAAGGCACTATGGAGAGTAATTCATTGGCCTTGAATTGTTTATTCTGACTCAGAGAGTTATAATCAAAAATTTAAAAACCTAGCTTCTGCCCCCTCCCCCACCCATCTGCAAACCCCTTTCCCTCAGCCATCTAGGGAAACATTTGTCAGGGACCTTGAAATTGACCAAAAAGGTTATTGGGTGCCTACAGTAGAAAACCTCCCATTGCCTTCAATGGAAAAAAGCTTAAGGACAGCTCCTTGAAGGAAATAAAGCCTTAGTTCAGTGTCAAAGGATGCGCAGTGGCTCTCCAGTGAAAAAAGTGGAGAAGACAGTGGGCAGACACACACAGCTCCTTTCATTGGCTTTGAATTAAATTACAAGTCTGTCAATTACAGATCACGGATAGCAATAAAGGATCTTGGCCACAGACATGCCAATGGATACTGTCCCATAGAGAGACAGTTGATTTCTTTACTCACCGATCTCTACAGAAAAAGCCACTTTTGTGTCATTTGTAAACTTATTTCAGCATTCCTCACTGATCAAAGTGTGATGCTTTTATTTCTTCTTTGATCCAGTTGTAATATCTTACCACCTTCCTCATTAATTAAGAGGTAAAATAAAATCTTTGACAGTGTTCATGTTATATGTGTGTGAAAGTCATGGTTCTACCTTTTAAAACAATTATCCTTTAAGAGCAAGAAGTATTGGTTGAATATTTCCCCATATTTGATTGGATGACTAAACATCTGAAAGATTAAGAAATACTAGGGAGTGTGGAATATGACCATAGCAAAAGGCAAGAAACCCACATTGGTTAGTCAGACATACTGCACTGAGGCATTGCTAACATGCCAGATCCGTACAGATGGGAAGACTTGGATCCAGCTGTCAAATAATTTCCAGCTTAGCAGAAGAGAGGGGGGTTCAGTAGTTCAACAAGTATATCCCGGATGAGCACAATATGGCGCCTATGCTGCAGGAACTCACAGCCGGGAGTGGGAGATAGACAGGTACACGGAACATGTCACTATCCTTTGGGAAATGCCACAAGAAAGGTAAGTATTGGATTTTGTGGAAGCCCAGAGCAGGAGCGGTTGGCTCAGCCCAAAAGCTTAAGGAAGGCGCCTTGGAGAAAATAAAGCCTTAGTTCAATGTCAAAGGATGCCCAGTGGCACTCCGGTGAAAATGGTGCAGAAGACAGTGGGCAGAGATAACTGCAGACAAGCAGCTGCTTTCTCATACCCTGCACATGCTTCTCGCGTGACATTTAAATCACCCACTTCTGTTTCTCTCCCACACTGCAAATCCACCGAAGGTCTGTGAGCACCGGGGCAGAAACCTTCTGTCCCCCCTCTTCCTTTTTCCCCCCTCTTCAAATTTCCCTAACACGGCAGATGCTTGATGAGTGTTTATTGAACTCAAGTGCATGTGGATTCTAGATATGACACAAAGTGGATAAAAAGGCGCAGATGTTTGCCACAAGGGCTCAGGAGGCGGGCTCATGTTGCCGGAGAAACAGATTTAAAGGCATGTGTGCTGTTTATTTGTATTGTTTGTAAGTGGCTGATGATGTCTCTGCTTTTTTGCCTATGAAAGTCTCTTTTGTTGCCTTACAGAGTGAAGATTTCCACATTTACACCCAGTATTGCACGAACTACCCGAGGTAGGCTGTGGGGGTGTGCGGCCATGTTTTCCTTCGCTTTCAGATCGTCTCGAGTCAGTCAGTCCAGTGGATGTTGGTGTCGGACGTTATGTGGCTGGCACTGTGCTGAATGCTTTGGGAAAAGTGGAAAACCCGCTGAGCCCGGATCACAGGGGTGCCCCACGCTGGTCCATTCAGGCTTTGGGCTCCCAGGAGAGCTGCTGTAGGGAAGATCATGAAAGACCCTCCAAGAGACCCAAAAGGTTTCGAGGTGTCCTTCCGTGGAAAGCCAAATAAACCCGTGTCTTTTGCTAGACGTCTTGTCTAGTAACGCTTTTGTATGTGTGCCTGGTTCCTAAAAATCTCCGAAGGACTACCACTGAGTGTATATAATCTGGCTGTTTTTTGCTGTCAGTTCTATGAACTAGGTAAGTTTTATGGAGTTCAGAGAAAGGAAAGATCATCAGTTTAGGAGAGAAGAGAGGACTCACGACCTCACCTGGATCACAGCCTCTGCGTTGCTTACTCTGGGAGCGCTGGCTGGGCCGTTTAGGGAGCACCCCCTAGACCAGTGATGGCGAACCTATGACACGCATGTCGGAGGTGACACGCGAACTCTTTTTTTTGGTTGATTTTTCTTTGTTAAATGGCATTTAAATATATAAAATAAATGTCAAAAATATAAGTCTTGGTTTTACTATGGTTGCAAATATCAAAAAATTTCTATATGTGACACGGCACCAGAGTTAAGTTAGGGTTTTTCAAAATGCTGACACGCCGAGTTCAAAAGGTTCGCCATCACTGCCCTAGACCATCTGTTGATCATTTCAGTAAGGCCTAAGACCATGGGTCACACTGACTGAATTTCTTTTTTGTGCAAAAGACACTTATTGAGCACTGACTGGTTCCTAATCACTGTGTATAATGCTGTAAGTAGAAATGTTGCTGAATTTAACTTTCACAGCGGCCCAGAGATATCCAGGGATTAAAACAAAGCAGATCAGCCATCACAGTGTGGGCCCACAATAGGTCCTCAGCCTGTGCCAGTTCACCACCAGCTGCCCCATCCCCCTGCATGGGTGAAGCAGTGAGGCTCCGATGGGTCTATTGATTTTACAAGGGTCACATAGTTCGTGAGTGGCCCCAAGAGGATTCTCTAACCTCATGGCTCATGCCACTACATCTTTGTAGAGTTTCTGGAACTTTCTGAACCCCACCTCCACCCCCATGCCTTTTGATGGTCAATTTTCCCACATGATCCTTGAGTTGTTATACCAGGGTCCAGACAGGAAGGTGAGAGCGAAGGAGGTTTTATACGCTCTGTGGCCAGTCGTGGTAGAGACTTGTCCCTGAGAGTCAAGTGGGTGGTGGGCCCCACCTGGAAGAGCAGCCAGCAGCCTGAGCCCCTAATGCTGCTACAGTAGGAAGAACAAATGGGACCCCTGCTCCAGTGGCCCCGGAAAGCCAGTGTGGAGTAAAAGGATATCGGGCTGTGGTGATTTATTTGGTGGGTGGCCAACCATACTTTTCCCAAAAAACCAAACCAAGCAAACAATTACCTACAGATTGGCACCTTTATCACACATGCATATCTGTAGACCCACCCTCAGTTCACACAGTTTCACTTAAGCAATGTTCTCTCCTGGAGTTTCCACATCTATGCTGAGGGTATCAGGAAACTGTAGGATGCCCCAACTAAACCCATGGTGCGTAGGGTGAAAGCCAGCATTGTCCCACACCCTCATTCAGAGAAATCACAGGATCAACTTCTCAAAACTTCCTCCTGAGGGAAAGGAAAAGCCACCCAAACTGTAGAACCAACAGAGCTCTGGACCCAATGGTGGGGAGCAGGGGCA